CTATAGCATAATTTAGCTTATATTGTTGTTGTTAGTGTTTACTAATATTCAAACTCATAACACTTATTGTTAATAACATTTTTACAATAATATAATTACTATTTTTTTTTCTTTTTTGGTGTGTGTGTGTGTGTAATTAGTTTTACTATATTAAATAATACATTGCGCTTTTAATTTGAAATATTATTTTCTACGTATTTATTTAAAGTAATTTGTTAATTTTTATTTAGTTTCTTTTTTAATAATAGTTTAATAACTTTGTAGATTTTTGATTTAATGTATTTTTTATCGTTGTAAAGTTTACTAATATCTCTGAACACAGATTTATATGTAGTTTAATCGTATCCCAAGCCAACTTTATCAACGAAATTTTATTCCGTAAGAATTGGTCCATATCTAAGTTATCCCGGGAACCATATTCGAGAAACCATAAAAAGTGTTTACCGTTTAATAGATTAGATTGAATTGACTGACACTAAATATCACATAAGCACCCCTGAATTTTTAATGACATCAGTTTCCTTTTCTTAAAAAAAGTAGCAAAAATTTTTAAAATGTTGGTTGAAATCTATTAAACGAACTTAAACTTAAATTTAAAATAATTATTTATTTATATATTTTTTTTTTGTAGAAAAGTGCTTAACTGTGTTATTTGCTTATATTTTTTTGCTAATATTATTTTTACTTACTTGCTTAACAGATTTTTGGTTAACACAGCACTTCCTACTAGACGAGATTTCTCTTCAAAGATCATTTATTTATTTAAAATAAACAAAACTTTTGTTTCAAAAAAATTAATAATAAAAGTTTAAAAAATTTTATTTTCTGATTTTACAATCTAAAGATAAGGTGTATATTACTTTCGACTCGTTCAAACACCAATTAGTTCCTGCAAATCTTGCTATTTCTGATCGTAGGTATCAAAAATATTCAGGTATATTTATTGGAACTTTATTTTATTTAAAAATTAAAACGGGAGTTTAAGATCGGTTTGCAAACTTTTAATAACAGAAAATGCTTGAATAAATTAAATAATTAAATAAAAAATTAAATAACATCCACGTAAACAATCGATGGACTGTATTGAAAGACGACGTAACTGCTGTTGAATTGAGAAACTATGGAAGCATAGCAAAGAGCAGAGGGAATAGGGTGACATAGTAGAGTAAGCAAAAACTCATTACAGATTGGGAAGATATGGAGACCATTCGCTTTCTCTTACATGCAAAATCGATCATACTTGATGTCAAATACAAGTGACATCATGGTTATATAGTCACCTAAAGTTTTCTGTAGATTTTCAATCCTTTAAAAGTTTAGTAACATTACTAGTTTTTTTTAAATATGATCGTGTTGAATATAGTAAATTTATAGCATAAATATACTTAAATTTTAATGTGAAAGTTATTAATACTTTTGCGTTGCGAACAAGTAGCTTCGACGCATATAACCGTTTACTAAACACCTAAAACTGGATTATACAATTTTATTTAATGTCAATATATCTGATATATATTTAATACTGTTCCATAGCTTTGAAGATTCTAATCTTTCTCGTAACACACGCTACACTCTAAGAACTCTGTAAATTCCAACAGCATTCACGTTAATCCCTTAGAAATACTCGTTTATACTGACGATTAAGTGCTTTTCATCTCTCCCATAAAAAGTCCTACTAGCTGATCTTTGCTAAATATTACAACAACAATATAAAGTGTTATCACCATATATGTTAATGTTGATTTTAATAATTATGTTGGATTTTTTTTACATTAATTTTTATATAGGATTATATTTATATCTTAATTTTATAGGATATTAGAAGCTTTAGTAATTTATATCTTTTTTTTAATTGTTATGAAATTTTCTAATTTATATTTGTTCTACTAAAATCAAGTGTTTTAATTATACTTTATATGTAGTGTAAAAATTATATATTAAATTTGTCAGAATGTTAAAATGGCAGTAAAAGCAAATCTAATTAGCGAAATCCGTCTGTCAGACTATCTGGCTGTGAATATGCAAACTAATCGTTTAGTTTTTTATCTAATATCATAGAACTTTCTGAAGGGATTTGCAGAGGAAGATAAATGAATCTGAATCACTTTATAGTTGAATTTTTATAAATACATAGGAAATAATTGATTTGTAAGGAATTAATAAATGAAAGCTACAAATATTTCAATATTTCAATATATATTTCAATTTGAAGTGACATTCTAGTGACATTTCCATAATTCGAAGAATTAAGGGTTATTGAGCTTAAATAACAAGCACATCTAGTTATTTAAAACGAATAAGAATATTTAGACGTCTATATATATATTACTCTATAGTTAATTTATTTCAATCTATAGATTAACGATTTAACTAAACAAAATAGCACTCAAGTCTAGATATTTAATAACAATAAGAATATTTAGGTTTCTATATATATATATATATATATATTACTCTATAGTTAATTCATTTCCATCTATAGATTAATGATTAAAGAATCCGAACCAATATCTTAATTATCATATTATGTATTAATTTTTCAAATTTTCAAATGATCAACTGTAGTCCCTAGACATGCTAAGACCTTTGTATAAATCGTATCAATTGTTTTCATAAATCGTTTATAGTATTGATTTTTAAATTATAGTCAGTTTGAAGGAATTATTAATGCTAAAGAGCACTGTAGCATACCGTACCATATCATTATTATTCAATTTTATTAAAAGAAACAAATTTTTTTATTTTTTCTTGAGAGTCGAATAAAATTGTATGACTTTAGGTAGATCTCTCTCCCACTAGTTGAACTGATGCAGATTTGAAGAGACGATTTTATCATGTCTATGATACAAATAAAACATAGATATAAAATTACAGTAGGCGTTCAATTTAACGAAAGCACATTCGTTAAATCTAGATATTCCTTATATCGAATAAATACATTGTCCAAAAAAATTTAGCTTTAAGTATTCATTTGTTATTTTTTTAAAATAATTGTTTAAAAAAACTTAAATCCGTTTGTTTGTTGATAATTTCTATAGATTTTTATATGCTTTCTCTTCTAGATCTTGTAAAATTATGATTTTGTTGTAACTCTTATTATTTTCTGTAGCGCATTATTTAGAAATCCTAATTATTTTATAGCATTTTGACTACAATTTCAGTGAGAAATCTCCTTTCATAATTGTATTTTTACCTGCAATATTCGTTAAAAAATTCGTTAAATAAAATACACAACGACAGAATTTTGTCATTCTTTAATTTGAGCGAGCATTCCTATAATTGAGTATTCGGTAAATTGAGTATTCGTTAAATTGGGTATTCGTTAATTTGGATATGGGATCGTTAAGTTGGGTATTTATTATATTAAACATTTATTGTAATTTTACTTTTACATTTTATTGTTCAACTATAGAAACAACACTTCAACTTTCTTTTTCTTTACAACTAGCTTACCCTTAAGGGTTTACTCTGATAAATACGAAAAGTTAATATTATTCATAAATTATACGTATATATTATATATATATATATATATATATATATATATATATATATATATATATTATATATATATATTATATATATATATATATATATATATAATATATATATATATATATATATATTATATATATTATATATATATATATATATATATATTATTACGTATATATATTATATAAATTATATGTATATGTACATATATTATATATATAAATTATACGTATATATATATATATATATATATATATATATATCGAATTATTAAATAATAATTTCACAGTTCTGAAATTCGCAAGAGAGTCAAACTTTTCAGCTAGACAGATAGAGAAGCAGGATGACCTCGTACTAGTATTGAAATAATGGTGAGGTTGATAAGTTGCACCATTGCCAACATGTAAGCTCGTTCATTGGATGCAAAGACAATACTTGGACTACAACTTTAACAATCGTATTTCTTACGAGTAGCGTAAAAGTACCCATGTTTAATGATGCCAAACTTGATGCTAACCAGTTCAACCTATTTATCCAGATAAAACGTATGCACTCCTGACTAGAAAGTAAACATATAAATGTTTACATTATAAAAGCTATATAACTTGCCAGACCTTTGTAAAAAATTGTAAAAAATTTCAATTATTTAATTCAAAAATCTAAGTTCTAAAAAAATTATATATTATTATTTTTCTTTATATCAAATAATATAAATAAAATAAAATATGTTTATTATAAACCTTAATATTGCTATAAAGTTTAAATATCTTTTCCTACTTATGAAAAACTAATTCATGGTTAACGTTATTTTAACACTTTACACTATTGTAAAGTTGAAATATATTTTTTCTACTTGAGAAAAACTCTTTCCAGTAGTTAGTTATAGTTAAATATAATGACATTGTTTAAATGAGAGTAACAAAAAATAATTGTACGCATCTAGTGATGTAAATAGAAAACCGAATACATCGGCTGCGTAACATATCTACATATCTTTTGGAGAAATTGATACATATGCAAATATGACCTAAATTTATTTTATTTTTCTATTAGCTTTTGTTATATATATACATATATATATATATGTTGTTTTTAGTTTTTATTATTTGTATTATATTTGTTCCTAACAAATTACTGCACTTGGTGTGTTAACAAATGCTTAGTAGTATTAATTATTTATAACGATACATACCATTACATTTGCACATGTATAATGCTTTCAAAAAACTAACATACAACATTATTAACAAAAATTTAAACTTAACAAAAATTATAAAAAAATATTCAATGTTCAATGTCCAATGTTTTCTTTTAAGTGAAAGTAATAAATTTTTTTTGTTAATACGCATAAAATTCTAAAATTTCTAATTTAAATCCCTTCGCGTTCCCTTGACAACTAATAAGCCCTGATTAGTTGTTGCAAGTATTTCGAGCATAGTTTTTAATTGCCTGCAAATCATTTTCATTTTTTTATATTGCAAAAAAGTACTTGATTTCATTTTCAGCTAAATATATTGGTGGTACGACAAGCTCTACAACTGTATCCAATATGGCTGCTTGTGGTACAACATCTTCAACTTCGTCGAAGTGGTTACTTTCGCCAACGCTAGAAGTATCCAGCGAAGAGAAAACATCGCTTATAAACAATTTAAGAACTGATTCTGAAGGTTTTGAAGGTGCAAATGGTGAAGATCCTTTATCTAATTTGACTGGCACAAGTATGCCTTTACCCGGTGGTGGTTTTGTTAAGTTGCCTTTAGATGATCGCAATAAATATGAGAAACTACGTAGTAATGACAATCCCACTTCAGATGATTCCGATTCGGAATTTTTTCAAGAGGATTATGCTAGTTCCAACACAGGTGCAAGTAAAAAGGCTATTTTCAAACAAATTGTAACCAACAATATACCAGATACCATACATAAAATACAACAGGCAGCTTATCACAAAGTCGATAAAACACAAATAAAAGTACCGATTGTCAAGAAATTACGACATACCACTAAAAAGCCTACAACTGCTGCACAGCAAGCTGCTCAGCAATTAAATGCCGCTTTAGAGCAACATGTACAGCAGCAACAACAAGCAGCTGCTATAGTGGCTGCAGCAGCAGCGGTGGCGGCAGGTGCGAATGTTAAGTCTGACAAAGAAGATGATGCCGATTCAATTGGTTCAGCAAGCGATTTACGTGCTGAGGACGATGACTTTTTCGATGAGAATAATATTAGTTCGACTAATACTAAGTTCCGTAGACCTAACTTGGATATGGATGGAATTAGCGAAAGTGTTAAAACTTGTAGTTCATCGGCTTATCATGCTGAATGTGAAAGTGTTACTACCCATGAAGATGACGTAAGCCGCGTTGTGGTAAAGGTGCGCATGCGTAAAAAAGATCGCACAGCAGCCGCTGCAGCAGTAGCTGAAAATTTAGCTGGCACAAACAATGATGACGAAAGTGAATTGAGTCCCACATCTAATGATTTTCTACATAAATTTGGAGACCGGCCACTTTTACTTGATGATGAATTGGATTATAGTTCTTGTGATTCTGATTCCAAAGATAAAAGTAGCAACGATACAGAAGATTCGCCAGAAAGTGTGCAGCGAGTACCGGTGGGTAGCAAAATCAACACTGAAGAGGAATTAGATGTCTTTGCTATGGCACCATTTAAAATGCCTGTAGGATTGCCAACAAAAAAGAAAACAAAAAATTCACGTTCTATACCTAAAGTGCCAATAGCAACTCCAACAAATCAAACTACAGAGATTTGGACATCAACACCAATCAAGAAAGATATGACTGCTGCGTTCACTAAATCAGAACTAGAATTTGATAATTTTCCAACTGAGCCAAATGCAAAAATAGTTCAATTTAATGAACCAGTTTTCAATCCATTTATTGAAACGAATAAATCAACTGCTGGTTCTTCAATTCCAAAACAACAAATAAGAAGTTCATCAAATTTCGGTACTGTTACTGTTATATCAGCAAATAATGCACCAACCATGTCATCAGTTAGTTTTGATGCAAATTTTGATACAGATCAACAAATTCCAACTTCAAACTTCCCCATATGTATTGAAGACAACACACATGAACAACAACGTGATCTCTTCGGATCCGAACCATTTCCACAGGTAATTCGTAAATGTGTCGTTATTACTCCTGAAGGAAATACAAACAAAATTAGTAATGTAAATGTAATAAACAATAATAATAATATTGTGCAAATGAAGACAACACCTCCAATTACAAATACAATCCAACCACCATTTACCCAACATGCAATACCAATAGTAGCACCCAATGCGAGTTCAACTCCCCAACTTGTTACCGTCAACCATTCAATTATTATAAATAAAACCCCAGAACCCTTGCCGAATTACAATATTTCCCGTTCAAATATTAGTTTGAATTATATTGGCACCAATATCAGCCATTCTACAGGTTCATCGAATATGACCACATTGACAAATGTATCTGTCCCAATATTTCCAGCAACTGCAACGGCTGTTACTTCCAATGCGCATGTAAATGTTGTACCAGCACCACAACCGCTCTCCAATTCAATGTCAACCATAAGCAATTTATCGACATATAGCATACCAGCGCTGCAAAAACCTATACTTAAAGCAAACACCAACTTATCTTCACATAGTGTCATACTGTCTATACCACCCAGCACCTGTTCAGCTGCACAAACAATACCTGTCAATAAGTCAACATATACACCAAATGTTACAAATGTTACAAATTTAAATCAAACCGATTCTATGTTTCCTATTGCTGATAATAATTTTGTACAAATCTCTCAAGATCATTGCTCAGACTTTACGCCAGACGATGAAGAAGAGCCAGTGGTTGTGCATGGTTCGAGTTCTGCCACCATGGGCGATACAACAGCCAATCCATCAACGGCAACAGCGCAGACCATCAACAGCGCCACCGTCACCACAAAACCTAAAAAAGAAAAATCCCATTTGGGTGTAAGAACATTACCGGCTAAAATTTCGCAAAAAGTCAAAGGACACTCATACAAAAAAGTTGTATCATCTGCAGCTGGACTGGGTTCAACATCCTCATTATCTTCAGCCAGCAAACAAAAACATCAACGTTTACAATATCAATCACAAGATGATTATGATGATGAAGATTACGAAAATATTATATCAACGACAGCATCTTCTTCAAAGCATTCCAAACATGGGCACACAGCAAATACAAATGATACAAATGGTAAATCATATCGTACAAATGCTTCATCATTTCAATCGAATACCATACAAAACTCCGCAAAGACAGGCTTTAGCAATATGAGTTTCGAAGATTTTCCATCCGATCAAGAAATTGATCGCATGTCGAAAACTTTACCTTTCGAAGTGGTACGCAACGAGAAAATGCTACTTGAGGCTGAAAAGAAATTCGGTTCATTGAAGCGTCGCAATAATCTATTTTCCTAGAAGCGAATTTCCGAGACGAGAAAATCGCTCAAGAAGGAATTTAAACAAGTTCTACAAAAAGTATTACGAAATTCTAAAGATAAATGAAACGCCGCGTATGATATGTCAATTACATGTACGAGTATTTATGTATTTGTTGTTAGTATGCAATAATGGAATTCATTATTTACTATTATTACTATTTATTTTTTAATATATATAATAAATATATTTAAATATGTATAATTTTTATATATACACTTTATTTGAGATACAAAAACTGTTATATGCATTTTTCTATTGATAGTTATACAAGTTATAAAAATTTAAAACATCCAATCATTTATTCTAAATTAAATTTCAATGTTTAAGAATATATACACTCTGATCTTTAGGATTATCCCATTAAAAAAATAATATAAAAAAACTTATTACTACGTATTTATGCGAACGTTTAACAAAACAAATATATATTTCTTTATTAATGTATGTATTCGTATACCTTGATTATCTCAACTAGATAACGGATGTATCTGAAAAAGTTCTTTATATCAGCTCTTCTTTATATACCAACATAAATCAAAATTTAAAAATTCTTACAATTTTTAAATTGTGTTTTTACCAAATAATTATAATATGAAATAAAATACATTATAGTAGTACGTATTACTGTAAGAAATTATTAAGTATAGTCTATACTTAATGACTCACTTAATATATGTTAAATATCTTAGTAACCGAAGACGATTATATCCAAGATGTACCTATTTTTATATTGATTTCTTTTTCAGCATCCTCACATATGTCAGGTCAGTTATAAATGCATTTTTTAATATGATTTCTAATACTTTTTTATATTTTAGATGGAAAATCCGTCTTCTTGATAATGAAGAGTACTAACAGAAAAGATTTTCCATATTACACTCATTCTAATAGTTGCAGATCTCTAATCTGTGTTTTTACCTCTCCACTTACTAATAGGTTACATTCAAATCATGCTGTGCCTATTGAACAAGCTCAACAAGTCAGGAAAATCAGTTCTTAATATAAAAATGTATTTTTTTTTGAATACTGACAAAATCTTTTAAAGCTTATTTAATCAAAATCTTAAGTAGACATTTTATGAAATTCCATTTTATTTTTTTTTTATTTTTAAAATTATTATAATAAAAATATTTCTTATCAAATTATGAATTCCACTAAGATTTTGCATCAGTTTAAATAATTAATTAGTAATTATTTCTAAACAGTAACATATAAAACAAAAAAGGATATATTGTATGTAGCGAAAAAAATTTAATTAACTTATGCAACACATAAAGTAATGAAATATATATATATAATGAAAGATTTTCAAAAACGCTATTTAATTACAAAGTTAATTTAATTTATATGACTATAATGTATTTGAAGTATATAGCCATAAATTGCTTTATTAGATATTATGTGCATTTTCTTTAAAAAGTATTCGTATAGTTTATTAATTATAAAAACATATAAAATAATTTATAATAATGGATTTAATAGTTTATCTTATGATTTATATAACTATCAATATGATTTTTAAAAAGTATCTCAAAAAAATAAATAAAACTAACAATTTATTCAAATAGACAAAAATTTTATACTATAAACATATTTTATAATATTTTATATTAATGTTAATGCATTCATCTATGTATGTATATAGCAGGCGTACACTACTGTATATATTTTAAGATATATACATATATTTACCGACTGTATTTGTATTTGTGGAAATGTTTTGAAAGTTGAAGACTGATGAATAATTTGTTGTTGTTTGAAATATATAATATATATATTTTTCGATTTTTAACGTAATATCTTGTGGAAAATATTGTAAATCTGCTACACTTGTTTTGATTTAAAAGAAGGAAAAAAAGTTTTATATTAATATCTAATAAGATTTGTTTAATATATGAAATACAAAACGACATCCTATATAGAGAAAATATAAAATATTTGATAATGCTTTCAGAAAGACAAATATTACTTAAACAATAAATATATTATGTTATAAAAAATAGTATTTTGTTTTAAGCAAAGCATAAATATAACAATAATATATATAAAATTATATAAATTATTTTATAAGAAAATATAATCTACAATAAAATTGCACCAATTTTTATTTCAATTATTAATATATATTAATATATATAAAATATATGATGTAATATTATAATATAATATATTATAATATTAATATATATATTTACATATATATTATATATATGTGCGAACAATTTAAGAATCTGAAAAACCAAATATATTACAATTATATAAAGGATATTAATAAATTGCAATAAAATTAATAAAATATATCTTGGCTTACAATTACAAGAACAATACAGCTTTGCAAACAAAATAACCTTTAATGTCATAACAATAAAATTGAAGAGTTAATATATACATATATTAAAAAAAGTAAACAAACAATATTTACAAAAACAAAAAAAAAATGTGATAATAGAAAAATTGCTAAAATAATTATAATATCATTAATTTTAAATAACATATTAAATAAAATAATAACAAAAATATGCATTCGGTAGTGTAGATTATTATTCATATATATAAATTTTTAAAATTATATTTTCTTATATTTATTCAATCTTACTGTTTAAATCAAAAATTTCAATAATTAAATTTTTATTTATATCAATATATTTACGATTCAAAAATAATTTATTAAAAAAATTATTTTAGCAAATCATTATAAATTAAAAGCAAGTTATTATTTTATAAAATGTTTAACACAGTATCATTTTTTCTAATAATAAACTAAGCCTTTTAATTAAAGTTACAATACTAATAGCTTTTCTTTAAGAAAATATTTATACTTATAAAAACTTATGTGAACAATTTTATATGAAATGTAATATAATGCATATGAAATATATAAAGCTAAAATTATGTATTTATTACTTTAATAACATATTTTAAGAAAAAACTTCAAAATGTCGACAATATAGATTAATAGTCGATGTTAAATTAATTTAAATATTATGTTTTAAATATTATATAGATTTAAATTGTTCATATAAACTTAAGTCAGTATAAATAAATAATAAAAAAAATAATAGTCAATAAGAAACTATATTTTATTTTCATCATTAAAATTTTTAATTATATTTTTAAATTAAACAAAGGAAAGGTTTGTGAGTAAAGATAATGCAGTGGTTTCAATTAAGGTTAAAGTAACGAGTCACAGTTTTTACAAATTGAAAAAGATACAGTCTATCGAGTGCATATTAAATTGAAAGTTCAGTATAAAACAATATATTATAAAACAAATGTTTTATAATAAAATATTAAACGCTAGTAAAAAATCTCTTCAAATAAAATAAATATATTACATATATTAATAAATAGGTTCAGATTAGAAGAATTAATTTTTATGTAATCATTTATTTATATTATTATTATTACTATAATTATATAATTATTAAATATATTTTTTAAATATATGTCACATAAATTCAAATTCAATAAAATCATGTTATAATATTATATCTTTTAATTTAATTAATTTAAATTGTGTTTATGTAATATGATTAATATAAGATAAGCATAAATAATTTTGAAGTTGCTATCAATTTTTATTTTTTTCTAATTAATCAACAAAGGAATTTAAATAGAAGAATTTAGTAAACATTTAAGATAATATATCACAATATTCTCACTATCATTAAAAATGTTTAAAACTTTTACAGATTGCTGTATTCGAATCGGATCTATTTATCCGGTAATAAGTTATATTATTAATATATAATTTGGGAATTTATTAAATTTTTCTATTATGCTGTAGTAAATATTGTACAGCATATATTTTTGATTGAATATTATATTATATTAAACTAAATAAATTTTAATATATTTTTTATTTAATTTAATATTTAATGTATTTATTATTTAATATAATATTTAATATATTATATCAAAGTAAATATAATTTAAAATATTTAATATATTTATTATTTAATATAATAATATTTAATATATTATATTAAACTGAATATAATTTTCATTTAAAAAAAGTAAAGATGTAAAAGTTTAATATAAAGAGAATTTTCGAAACAGATATTAAGTTATTTTAGCAAACGCCGAATCTTCGATTATTACTTGTTTGTCTGATTTGTTCTAAAGATATATCATATATAATATTTGTCGTTACAGTCTTTTTATAAATAAGTATATATCAAAAAAAATCCCTATAATTCAAATTATGCTATTCAAAATTATAATATGCAGCCTTTGAAAATTAATGGTAACTATTTTCGTTCTAAAGCTGAATAATAATAAATATATTTATTTATATTAATCAATCACAGTTTATAGATTACATTATTATATTTTATGTCATATATTTTATATTTATTTTATAAGCAATTTAAAATATCGTGCTTTTAATCGTTTTCATAAGCAATCCAAACGCTGTTAGAAGTATTTTGTTATATTCCAAAAATGGCAATTTCTAAAGCAAAAAATTAGTATATAAAATTTTCACCGTTTGTATTTTAGTCTATTAATTTTTCGCAACTATTAAGTTTAATAAAATTAAAAGAATATATTTAAAAAATCAAATTATTAACTGCTTTATCTATTTAAAAAAAAAAACGCTGGCTATAAAAAATCTCAATATAGTTTATATAAAAATATATATCTAAAAATTTAAAAATATGTACATAAAAAAATTTTTTTTTTACTCATAATTGGAAAACAAAAAAAAACATTGTATTATTAAAATATTAATATTTTTAAGTGTTAAAAAGTATATTTATTATATATTTAAACAAAACTATTGTTGTTATTATAGCAAATATATTAGATTAAAAAAGACAAAGATACATGAAAATTAATATATACGATATATATATAATAAATTTTAAAATCGATATTATTTCAAAAATTTTAATGTGACTTTTTATTACATACTTACTATATATATATATGTATAAATATGTATACATATAAATGTATATATATATATATATATATACATAAGTATGATTATATACTTAAAACCAATTCTTGCACTAAAATTATTTGCTAATTAAAACTTATTGTGCGCTATGCTATGTATTATCAAATTTAAATTTTTGAAATTAAAATTTTGTTGATAAATAATTTATAAGACGACCAAAGTTATTAAAAAATGATCCTGTTTTATATATCACAATTATGCAGAATGATGTGATAATTGTTTTTTAAGTATGTTGAATAATTTTATTTAATAACATTTATAATTTTTATTATGATTTCAATAACGTTAAACTTTGTAACTTATATATTTATGTATATTTTAAAGTAAATAATACTTTTAAAAGTACTGTATTTGAATATTTTTATTATATCCAATATGAAAAACAAATAAAATGCATATATTTATGAATAAATACATTGTTTTTCGTTTTTTATTAACATTTTACACAAAATCACAACAATATTTAATATACTAAGCATTTGTTATACTCGAGATGGTGCAGTTTTATATCTTTTTTTTCTTTCTATAGTACAGTTATTTTTTAGTTATGGTGTTTTTATCATATATGGATAAGTTTTTTCTTCCCTAATTGTTATAAGAGCTATAAACTATAATTTGTGACGACTGTCGTTTCAAATTAATTAGCAATCAACTACTAAAAAATCAAAACGGGGAATATACCTTCTGCTCAAAAAGTACTTGGATTTTATAAATAAAACACACACATTTAAATTTTATTCCAAATTTATTTTATCTCCTTCGAAATATGCTCCTTCTGAAGCGATACACATATATCAACGCTTAACCCAATCTTCCATACACTTTTCGTAGGCCCGTGAAGGTATGGCTTTTAGTTCCTTCAGCGAATTCTCTTTTACCGATTTAATGGATTTAAAACGCTTACCACGAAGGGGCTATTCGAGTTTCGGGAACAGGAAAATGTCGCATGGATCCAGATCTAGCGAATATGGTGCCTGGGCGATGACAGTGGTGCCGTGTTTGGTCAAAAAATCACGTACAACAAGAATTTCCCATTGTAAAAATCGCTAAATGCACTTGAATGCACTTGAGGTAGTCTCACATTAACAGCTGCTGTAAACAAACTAATTGTCAGATGGCGCTCAAATTTGTACCATATGTCAAGAAAGGGTGTACCAACATAACAAAAAAAAAGGACCTAGACCTTTTTGAAAAAGGTCTATTACGTAAGGAGTAGTTAACAAACAACAAAATCCAGATACTTTTTGAACAGAAGGTATACATCTATATGTTATAATATGTAAGTATATTTTATTTTAAAACAGTAAACAGTGGTTATTGTTAATGTAACTAGATCTTGTTGTTGTTGTAACCCGCCGGGACCTGTAAGCAGATAACATTAAAGGATGTACAAGACAATTACATGGGTAAGGAAGTGGGTGAGTAGTGGTTAGGGAAGATGGAGGAGGATGGACTAACAATTTAAAGTAACAATATACATACATATATTATATAAAGATAAGTATTTTTAATTTTTTTTTTATAGCGTTAATATCAACTATAATTTAATAATTTTTTTTTAATATTGTGACACCTACATACTTGAAAATATAATAAAATAGAAAAACCTTAATAAATAAGCTAATGCAGGCATATACGAGTCCAGGATAGTAAGCGTAGTTGATATACCTTCAACTGTATTCTGATAAATATTGATTAAACAAATCTTTAGACTAACTTAGAAGAAAGATTTTTCTGTTTTTCTGGTGAAAATATTTATCAGCAATATACTTTTGTATATGTGCAAACCAATTAGGGAAGCATTTTTCCTTCATTGAAATTGGTGCCTCCAAAACATGGTTTTTAAACGCTTCACCTTTTTCCGCTTTGTCGTTTTTCGTTGTTTTTCCTCCATTCATTGAAGACTGTTAATGAAAAAAGATTTTTTGTTGATTATTATGATGTGTATGTGGTAAGTGTTCGAATGCCTAGGCACGTTTCAATCTCAATATAGGCTACAAAACAATCTTGTGTTCGATATTCCTGCGCAGAATATCGATCGATCGAATATCGCCGATCGATATTCATCGGCGAGCAAAGTACGACTACGCTTGAATGCATTATACCAATTATAAACACTGATTCTTAATAGTACTCCTTAGCGAAAAGTTGAAAAAAGTTTATCGATGCACTGTTATCGTGTTAGTCCACATTAAAAGTTGTAATAAATCATTCAAGGAAAACTTGAAACTTTGAAGTGACAAAATGATACAAAGCTTGCTAGTACTATTAAATCTTCTAAGAACATTTGTGATTGACTCAAATGACATACATGTTGGCAGATCTAAACACTTATTTAGTGCCATATATATTTCAGTAGCTGCAGGATTTAGAACGCAAATGCATGCAATTCAAATACAAATTCTGTAGGGATTCCATTGTTATCCTTTAGCAATTATATACAGGGTACAAATACACCAAATATAAAAAACATTGTTTAGGTCAGTTGGTTAAGGTGCGCTGACTATGAGAGTTGAATTTGGCAGGACACGATTTTAATTCCTGGTAGTTGCAGTCTCAAAAAAATTATTTACAAATATTTAAATACAAGAATTATTTCAAAGACTACTGATGATGGGTATTTGACAATGCTCGAAACAGATGTATAGTCAGCCAAAAATTCAATTAATTAAAATAATATAAAAATGAATTTTTGTTGTTGTAGTTTCACTCCTTTTCGAAAAAACCATATTACAACAGCCGTTGTAATATGGTAAATAAAAATGTCAAGTTTTTTCCTTTATATTAAAGCATAAGTTAATATTAATTTTCGCTGCGGAAGAAGTTGAAAGTGAGCTAGAACAATAATTAAATTATTTAATAAATAATATTGTTCTTATATAAATTATACAAAATACTCACTAGAAAAATAAAAGTTATAAAATTTTATGTAAACAATTACAATTTATGTATTTTGAATATTGTAATTATATATCATACATTCACAAATGCTGCAGGTAAGTTAAATGCAACAATTTCATTTGTATATAACATAATATTAATAATATAAATTTAATAATATAAATTAAGTAAATTACAAATCAATGTAAAAATATGTACATTTTAGCTAAACCATGATTTCTTATTCATTTGATCCCATTTGGACATGTTTACTAAAATTGAGCTCACACATTGATCCTTATCACGATTTTGGCCATAATAGTCAACAAATTCACCGTCCGGATTAACCAAATACATAATAATAGTGTGATCGACCTACAATCAAATGTAAATTAGTAATATTCGATATAGTAACAATAAAATGAATTTACTATATAATCATTATCTGTGTCACGTGGTCCGGCACTAAAATAAACACGAAAAGCTTTACAAACATTCCGTATTTGCTCTACAGTGCCAGTCAAGCCCAATAGCTTAGGAGAAAACTCCTTAACATATTTTCCAACAATTTCTTTGGTATCGCGTTCTGGGTCAACAGTAATGAATATTGGTTGAATATTTGGCATATTAGGAGATTTGTCTATTGAACAAATAATGTATATTAAACTTTTTTAAATTCATAATACATTACATACCTATATCATCGACAACTCCAGCCATTTTTTCTAATTCATCAGGGCATATATCAGGACAATGTGTAAAACCAAAATAAATTAGTAACCATTTGCCGAGGAATTCTTCAGATTTACGTAAAATACCCTTATCATCAATTAATTCCCAACGTCCACCAATTGCTGCTTTACCCAATTGTCGCTTTCTTTCACGCATTAAGGCATCTTCCTTTTCTTTCTTAACATACAACATAAAAGCTAAGCCTATTGAACCCACCGCACCGATAACTGCTAAACTTTTCCAAGATATAGGACCTTTGCCTTTCGTTGGATCAGTTGTAGCGGCGAAACGACGTTGTATTTGTAATGAATTTCGGACAGAGTTTACGCCATTATATTGAATGATTGTGCTTCTGCCAATAGTTGTTAAAAAACGTTGGGAGTGTTTTAACATTTTATTTAAATAAAAATCTATAATATATTTCAATAATATATTTGTTTCTTGAAAATTTATCTTCACTTTTTTACGTAAAATCTATTTCGCAAAATTGGAAGCAAAGTGCCGCATAAAACAGCTGATCACAGAATGACAACCGATTAGACCAAAAAACGCCTTACATGAAAAAAGTAGTATAATTTATACCATTCATAAATAAAACGTAGTAAATCATTGTTCCGTATTGCAATATTTGAATATTTTTAGTTATGTTTAAAATGTAAATGTTACTTTAAAAATATATTAAAATAAATTATTTATTGCACTGGTGCAAATGAATTGCATAACAGTATGCGATTCTTTCATTAACTATATCTTAAGAAAATTAGAGCTTATTAATATTCTTATTTATATTAAGGACTAAGGGTTCCATTTAGTACACCTTAGTTTTGATAAAAGTGTTTAACGACTATTGTATATAAATAATATTGCATTGCATTAATGATTAAGTTTTATTTTGATTGCTGCTTTTATATTTTTATTTTATATTGTTATTAAATAAGGTTAAGTCTTTTGTTAATATAAGAAGACTACTTAAGTATTTTCGTTCAAAATTGAAATTCCTTCTTAAATATACTAAAAACACAATTATACATAAATTAAAATAAAATTAAATAAACTAAAACTATATACAAAACTTAAAAAATTTTAAGCTACAATATGATTTATTATTATATGGAACCAATTATTATTAAATAAAATGTAAAAATTTAGAAAAATAGAAAACTAACTTGGCATCTATTTGTATTTTTTATTTTTAGGCAAAGTATTATTAATTACATGGATTTTATTTATATACAAATTGAACACCCTATGTTAAATAAAAACGTTGCCTGTATTTAACTAAATTGTACTTAAAATATGATATACATACGATAAAACATATGCATGTACTAAGAGCGAAGCGTGCCAAATTTTAGCGTCTATAGGCGTATTCGCCCAACAAATTCGAAGGCGAAAACTTGGTGTTCGAAAAACTGAGTTTTATTTGTTTGAGGAATTTAAGTATGCAAAAATTATTTTATAGTGTGGATGAGTCATTATGACGTTGACAAATGTATGTCTTTAAATTATTTTAATATTTTTTATTTCAAACTACAATATTAATGTTCCAATAGAACAACTTCTGTTTGGACTCTGTTTAAGAATAACTTCACATCACTGTCTAAATCTGTAAACATATGAGAAGTAAAAAAATTTTAAATAAATTTGTGGTTGATAAATACATGTAAATACAAAAATACCTGAAGGTAATTTTATAAATTTTTTTTTATATAACTCGATTCGGTTATAAATAATAACCAAACTCTTCTGTCATCTGACTGGAATTAGAATCTGAATTTTTTAAGAACATTTTTGTTGCCTTACATGTTTCATTTCGTTGGTTGTGAGTATTCTTGTGCAACTTTGAAAGAAAAAAGAAACTTATGCATAAAATAGGTCTGCTGTTCCACGAGCTTCTTGTAGTAACTTCAAGTAAGACTGTGTATACACAAATGCATTCCACCAGCAAATTTTCGAGTACATGAGAGCATCTGAGAGAGCAAAGTGTAACATCCCTGTCGAAATTTGAAAGTTCTACACAGACTACGAGTACATTTTATTTCAAGCAAAATGTGTGTGATGTGTTAATAAGCTGTTTTGATTTGAATTTAAAATTTTGTATTGTTTATTTGCTTGACACAGTTTCTCACAAAACTGTTCCAAAGTTGTTCCATGAAAATCTGTGCAAAGAGCGAAAATTGGCACTTTAATTGTGTTACGCTCTCAGTTTGTACTTTACTTGTGTTCTACTTGAGTTTTACTATGAGTAGTTCGTTGAACAGCTTTATTATAAATAGAATAAGCTATAGTTACTAAAGAAAACATAAAAATTTTACAAAATTACTGCTATTTACATACATTTATTATACATTAAAATCGATATACATTTCCAAAAATCTATATTATGCTTAAAAAAAGTATATAATTGAATTTTCCATTGCCAGAAACATTTTTAACCGATATTCAGCCATTTTTTAGATTTATTTTTATTATCGCTTTCTTTCTGTTTCAAACCAAGCGCATTTGATAGCATTTAAACAATATTAACTGTTGGTAACACTTCTCGCTTACCGAGGTTCTTTTTGACAGGTATATCAAGCAGCATTCATTGAGATTTGCGGATATTTAATATTATTTACAAAGAAACGGCGACGACATGGTGCGTAAATTGTTAAAATTATATTTGTTTAACTTCCTGAAGTAAACAAATTGCATTTTATATTGAAATAACAGTATATGCTCGGTTTTGTGTATAAAATATTTTTTAAGAAAATTTATAACCTAAAAGTGCACATTTGCGTGGCAAATGCTAATAATTAATATTTTTTGTTATAAGTGATAATTAACGTATTCTTCATTTACAGAGGCCATTAATGCTGCACGGACATGAGCGTTCTATAACGCAAATTAAATTTAACAGGGAAGGTGATTTGCTCTTCTCGTGTTCTAAAGATCAAAAGCCTAACGTGTGGTATTCACTAAATGGCGAACGTTTGGGTACATATGATGGACATCAGGGTACTGTTTGGTGTTTAGATGTTGATTGGACAACGTCGAAACTCATAACTGGGGCGGGTGATATGACAACGAAAATTTGGGACGTTGAATTAGGTTCAGTCACAGCATCGATAGCAACTAAATCTATGGTGCGCACATGTCGTTTTAGTTATTCCGGCAATCAAGCCGCATATTCTACAGATAAAGCTATGGGACAAAACTCAGAATTATTTATTATTGATGTACGCACAGCCGATTCTTCAATTGCAGAACAGAGTCCAATATTAAGGATTCCCATGTTACAAACCAAAATTACATCAATGTTGTGGGGACCACTAGATGAAACTATTATTACTGGTGTGTATATGATATGATATAAGAGTTTAAATATTTTAATAAATAATAAAATTTCTTTAAATATTTATAGGTCATGATAATGGACAAATATCAATTTGGGATATACGCAAAGGTAGAGAAATAAATTCTGTCAATGACCATACCGCAGGTATTAATGATATGCAGATGAGTAAAGACGGTACTATGTTCGTAACTGCATCAAAGGATACATCAGCTAAATTATTTGATTCTGAATCTTTAATGTGTTTAAAAACATACAAAACTGAGAGACCAGTAAATTCGGCGTCAATTAGTCCGATCCTGGATCATGTTGTTTTAGGCGGTGGTCAAGATGCTATGGAAGTTACAACTACATCGACTAAAGCAGGCAAATTCGATTCAAGATTTTTCCATTTAATATATGAAGAAGAATTCGCACGTCTTAAAGGACATTTCGGTCCAATTAATAGTTTAGCCTTTCATCCTGATGGTAAAAGTTATGCATCAGGAGGCGAAGATGGTTTCGTTCGTCTGCAGACATTTGATAGTTCATATTTTGAAAACATTTTCGAGTAATTTCCAAACAACTTATACATATATATATATTTTTTTTTTTTTTGTATAGTGACTTCTCTATATTTGTACTTGTTTATTTTGAAAATAAAATATATTTCATATATATATACATATAAATGCAAATAAAATTTTTCGGTAAATATATATTGTATTATTGTAACAAATATAAATTTGCTGAAAAACTAAAACTTGCATATCTAAAACATTTTACGCTTTTGATATACATTTCTAACTTTGTGCTAGTTAGAAAGTTAGAATAGTGGCAAAAATGTATACAAATAAAAGAAGTAACAAAATGTTTTCCAGAACTAAAAGAAAATGCTTACAATTTTCCTTAATAGTTGCCAATTTGTAATGTAGAAGTGAAATCGTAATGCTACTCAAAATATAACAATGTATTTCGTTTTTGAATAAATTTCTATAAAGCGCTATATTGAATTTAACTGTTTTAATAATAATTTATATAATGATAGTGTACAACATATATATAATTAAGTATTTTTTATCCTAGTGCTCTCCAATATATGTGTGTATTTTATGTCATGATGCTATTTACTAAAAGTAATTAATTTGACTAACTGCTGCCTGGTACTTATGTATAACGTTCAGAATTTTTAAATTGCTTATATTACGGAGTGCATAAACGACTGAAAATCTATTTTATATTTATAAAGACTTCATTTGTTAATATTTTTATAATACTTTAGCTTTACGCTGTATAGCTACTATATGGGCTTGTTAGGTTTGTTACTAAACTTTGTTTTATTTGTTAGGATTGGTAAGTATATAAGTACAAGTTATTAAATTTAACATTGTGAATCACTTTCGTAAAATTAAATTAATTTTTCTAATTATCATAATATTGATGAAGAGCTGTTGACAACAATTCAGCCATATGGCTTACCAGAATACAGAAGATTGAATCCGTGCTGTAGGAGAGCGTATGTTTTTATTTCCTTTCCACATTGATGTTCGGTTGAAAATCATTTGTGGAATTATATTATAATACAAACAATATTTATAGTAACTGGTACCGACGGCAACAAACAGTATGGTACTGTAAAAGCTGGTGTGAAGGCACAATTATGGTCATGAATCATTTATCCAAACTAGATCTTGTGTAAGTAACCATAAAACAAGAGTACATAACAATCACGTGCAAATGATATATTCCGTAGAAAGTATTAAGTAGGAATTAGTATAGAAGGTTTAAATTTATGTAGTTCTATATGGAAAAGAAGTATTATTGATGAAAGAACTTACATCTTCAAGCTTAGAAGAAATTATAACGCATTATTGTTATTGTAGATCTATACATATTTCAGTGCACTACACAGTCACACAAATAATTAGTTTAAACAATATTTGCAAAAAATATACCTATAAACAACAATTTAGATAAAGAAATTATTATTTTTTATACATGATACCTTCAATTCATTAAAATCTATTTTTGATTTGAGATAAAATTATCAGATATCTAAGTAGGCTCAATTTGATACTCTTGACTATGAATTCGTTGACCGACTTAATAGATGTCTAAAGATCTACTGACAATCCGATGACACTTTTCGGTATTAGCTTAGAACTTCAGATGGATAAAAAATATAATCATTTTTATATGAACTTTAAGTTTGAAACGTTTGGAAGAACAACCCTGATATTTGACTTAAAGCTCGACTGTATGTTATTCTGTACAGTCTGTTATTTTATCGTTTTCTGGTATACATCGTATGTTACCAGCTACCCATTTGTACAATTAAAAAAACTTAAACGCTTACATACCATATGTATATATATTTACCTTTTAGGATCTTAATAATAATAATTATTTAATATAAAATATATTATTACTTACATGTATGGACAATTGAAATATGAACTAATTTTAGTCTTTGTCCTCAGAAAAGTGCGAACATGCATAGCGTGAGATACATCAGATCATAATGCACTGAGTTCACAAACTAGCGGTATCACTGCTCCAAGTAAAAGTGAATCAACCTGATAAATCTTTAAACTCGAATACAAACTCATCCCAAATTTTACAGGGCAGCAACAGTTGCGGATTCCTCATCTTCAGAGCCACAACCACAACAAAAGTCGTTATAGCATAGATCACATATCATAACATGTCTTCTTACTAGCGATAACGTAGTGCTTAGCAAGTCCCGCTTTAGTTGAAGCAGCTAATCGCTATATTTTTGTTCAGTTTGGACTAAATATAACTTCAGATCAGGCAAGAATTTCTATCTACACTGGTTTTTTTTTAGCTATACTCAGATATTTTTGTTTAATTGCAGGAATTATCATTCCATAAGGATAAATACATTTAATAGTTTGAATGTCTGACCGTCCACTAGCTGGTACATTGTAATTTCTAATTAAACCTAAACTACATAAAAATTGTTCTGTTGACTTTGAATTACTATTTGCTTAGTAATTAAATAGTTACTTATTTAACTCATTTGATTTCAGTAATATTCCAGCTCCGTCACTTAGATCCAAGTACACATGTGCTTCCAAAAACGCAGTAATGAGTTGCAGTAGATTGTATTACACGATTATGATTATTATCTAAACTATAAAATATGTTGTGTTATAATTATTATGTTTGGGGAACTCGCACTACGACCTAGAGATCTACATACATAATTACTTTATGTAATTAATACGTTGTCTTACTATTGCAACATTTTTAGTTCATCATTTCGCAGTTATCGTAACAGCTTTTTGTCTTATAAAAATAGGCTAATACTTTAGCCCAACTAAGATTAGTATAAAACCATATCATAGCATAAACTCGTATATTTAAATTACTATATCTGGCTTAACGGGCACTGTAAACATCTGGTTTAACTCAATTAAATAAAAAATTTGATATATAATTGAGCTGAGCTGACTGAGAAGTTTAAGTCTGTGTCAAAAACACTAAACTTCATTTGTAGCCAAATTAATGTAAATATTTGTGATCTCTAGTCTATTTTCTCCAACGTTTCTTCAAATATATCTAATTCTTGTCTCATTAGTAACCTATTATTTATTAAAACAACGATAATAACATGAACCAGTACCTGTGTGGTTGTAATAATTGTGGTTTTAATGTTTTTATAGTAGGTTAAGTAAGGACTGCGATCCTATTGAGACTCACTTATGTCGATTGTCATATTATGATTTATATAAGCTCAGAATAAGCGACTATAATTCTCTAGGATAGACTATGGAATAGAAGTAAAAGCAGGAGTTACATAAACAACTGGCGTATAGTGATATTGTTAAAAAACTACATACATATGTATGTATATATCTCAGTTTCAGTTTACTGAGAGTTAGGTACTGTAACTAACAGGATTGATACTTCTTCTTTTACAAATAATTGCAATATAAGTTCATTTAGGGTAAACCCCTAACGTTTTTGTGTATTAACTTATTATACAATAATCTATTTGCAAATTAAAAAATCTATCCATGAGTGTGATATTACCCAAAGGACGGATCTACTCGTCTACTTCGACAACTAAGTATCACACCCAAAGGGAACTACACAAGCATATCCTTGCGAGTAACAACAACAGCAACGTTAATCGTTCGATAACGTTAGAGCCAACGTTGGAGTGTTGGATGTCTTAAAACTGCTAATCAGTCATTGACTATAACAGGGCTGTCCAGATCAGATCTCATCGCGAGTCAACACAAATCACTATATAGATTGAAGAGTCGCAGAAATAAATATATACGTTCATGATTTTATTTGGAAAATAATAAAATCACGGCGATGATGTTATATTTAGTTTAATTGATTTATTTATTTTAATTAATTTATTTAAGATGCCATAAAAAAAAAATAATCCAATTTTATCGAAATATGCCAAAAAAAAATTAGCGTAATTGTGGTAGATTAGAAACGTGTCGTGGGTCGTGCTTTGCATAGCCCTGGACTATGATATCGATTTTGAACACCCCTAATATTTTATTATTATTTCCTAAATGTCTTGCTTGGTATACCGGTTAGATTAAATAGTTTTAAAAACTGGTAGGTATATCACATATTACCTATATATATATGATTTAAAAGACCCCAGAGAATTTTATAAGTTTATCATGAATATGTATGTATGTAATACATATCAGATATAAAATTATAATATACATTGCTTACGGGATATATAAATATCTAATAAAAGTTAATATTTATTTAAATATTTTAATGAGATACTTTTCTGCGCATTAACATAAATTCTAATTCCGTAGATGTACATATGTATGTCAACTAAGCAACTTTTTTTTGCTACTTTCACATTCGGGGCTCAAGTAAAAAATAACATTTTACATATTTATTATATAAATATATTTATTTTTAACATTATAATATATGTTATACATATGTTTATGTGCATTAAATATATTATTTTTAATTTCATGTAAATTATTTGTTTTCCATATAAATATGACTTTATAGTTATAGACTTTATATACACGTATGTGTATATGTATTTGTATATTCATAAATAGCTCATACAAAGAAAATGTTTGCAATATTTTATCTGTTCATATTTTAAATCCATTCTTGCATTTGCTTATATATTGAAAATATACATATAGTACATATTTATAATAAATAAAGAAGAAAATTTAAATTTGCATATCGTTCTTAGGACTAAGCAATGATTTGTTACATGTGTAGGCATTGCAAACATTTCCCTGACAAACTGCATATACATATATATTCGACACAATTTTTTATTTTTTTAATGAAGTATAAATTGAATATAACATTAAAATAATTAACAATATTAAGTAATTGAACGCATATTTGTAATTGTTTGTTATAGAAGATTTAAATCAAACTCTAGCGCTTCGCAAACTAAGCTAGCTCAGGAGCAAAAATCACCTGCCCATAAATAGAATGCAAAATATTGATTAAATTTTAAACTGGAATTATATATTTTAAAAAAATGTATTTTTCTTCTTCTTAACAACCACAGGCTGACCATTCATTGCGGCCAATTGTGCTGGTGTTGCTGCATAACCTGGCGGTGGTGGTGGAATGCTAATAGCGCCTGTTACAGTGTGGCGTACTTCAGCACCTTTTGCTAAAGTTATCACCTTTGTCTCTGCAGTCTCATGGGACATGGGCATGGGCTGATGGTAGTAATGCTGATGCTGCTGCATATGTGTTTGATAAGGATTAACATAGCCAGTGCCGTATGGTGGCAAATGAGAAGTTGGTGCCTGCATTGCGCCATAAAGTTGTTGAGGCGCTACAGCTGCAGACATTTTTTGGCTTTGCTCATATGTTGGAGGTGGAGCACGCTAAATATTTAAATTTATTTTTAAGCAAATCTTTTAATACATTTAAATATTTTATTTAAATGCAGCAAGCGTTCACCACATAAAAATAAATTACCTGCGAGAATTCGCTAGCCACAAACATGTCATTGTTGGGTGGCGCTGTTGGGTTCATTGGTATTTGTTTTTCTATCAAAATATTTGTGATGTTATTAATTGTTTTATTTTAATTTTAATATATGATATTACCACTATGCTTTTCTGACATTTTGAAATGTTATTTTTTTTAAAAGATAAAAATCAAAAAAATTTAATTTCACAATAACAAAAAACTTCACAACTTTAAAAGCTTACGTTTCTTCACAACTCATTTGACATTTCGTTTCGTTTTCGTTTGGGCAGCTTGTGTTGATGTGTGCATGAATCATTGGCAACGAAAAGAATCGATAATCAAAACAAAATGAAATAAATTACTAACACAATTGCGCAAATCTGAATTATTCTAATACAATATTATGCCCAAACGACACTTGAAAATATATGCTATTATTTATTTCAATAATATAATAGTATTTATCGAAAACAAAACGCTTATTAAAGTTTTTCTTATAACAAAAATAATTTTATTTAAAATTAATTTATGTTGCATCGATTTCATTTATGAATTTGATGCATTTCTTCTTAAGTATTTTTATAGCTTCAATAAATATAACATCTGGTTTTAACGCGCCTACCGACTCGACGGTAAAAATGAAATGATCACGTACACGCGACATTTCTACGGCGTCGATTAGATGCGGAAAGCGATAAACATTACGACTGACAGTATCGTATCTTGCATCCTTAACATAAGCTTCATCGTCGTCATTAACACCGATAACGCCAGGTGAGAAACATTTCTGCAACGTATAGGCATCTTTGCCGGTGACTGGACGAGTCAAACGAATTTCTGGTAAAAGTCTATAATAAGCTGTCGCCACAGGGGAGAATTTTGCGTGATCGCTACCAATGCCCTTTACAGCAGCAAACCGTATATCTAATTCATGTCCGGGACGCAATTCTGTGACAATTACATCATCATACATAACACCCACGTCTGACTCTTTATAAATTTGTGCTTGTTTACCCCGTGGCAGCCACTTTATTTGACTTGATAAAACTTTGGAGTTTTTATACGCAGTTTCTGGGTTTATATTATCTTTGACATCTTTTCTGCGTGTGCATTTAACCTTGAGCTCAAATTCTAACGTATCAAGTTCAGTACCCAATTCATCGGTCTCTTCAGCTCTGTACTCAAACAAGCGTGCGTCAGCTCTTAATGGTATGAGACCCAAACGATGTGCCAATACTTCATCTTGTAGAACAGATGTGTTGTTATAAATAAAAACTTTTTCTATAGCCATGCTAGGCACATTGCTAAGCATCAAGCGTCGAAAAGCATTTGCCAAAGATGGATGAATGCCAATAACATCAAATTCCAAATCATTTCCTTCATATCTAATACAATAATTGTTTTTATTAATTAACTTTAAATTTACGAGCAATATTCACATATATAAATACCTGACAACAGTAATTTTTAACTTCTTTTTGTAATTTTCGAGAACAAGCTTGTCATCAGCTAAGCCATAATCATGTGCGTCCTCTGTAACTTTATATTCACCCAAGTGTAATAATGGTGCTCCAGCAGCCATATTGTGTGAGGAATCAATTCAAATATTTAAAATTGATTTAGTTTGTTATTCTAACGTCAAAATAATAATTATTGCATTCAACACGTGCCGACAACTAAAAACAGTGCCAGAAGTTTTTGTTTGCGTTATGTCATACGTTGCTTTCATAATACAACATGACGTAGAGTATTGTTTGACAGCTAAACAATATTTAGGCCACTTTTACAATACAAACTGAAATTGAATTTTTACTGAAATTATAGCGACATTTAATTGTTCAATAATAAGCAATTATGTAATTAGTTAATTTAAGAAAAATACAATACTATTTGAAGTAAAATTAAATGAAAAATGCAATTTTGTGCTTTGCTTGATTTATCTGCACATATGCAAGATTTGCTATTTACCAAAACATAACATTTGATAGATTGCAATAGTGATGTCAATGTCTCACTTAGCGAATATAGGCCAGCATAGCGTTTTTTATCACACTTGCAAGCCACCGAAAGCACCTATACTTAAAAAGTTAAAAGTACATAATTTATTAATATGGCAACACTACACCAATGTTATAGCAAAGTTGACAGATATGTTTTTAATTATTGTTGCTGTCAAAATACGCACATAGTTTCGAAAAAATAACACTATATATGCCGGCAATTGTTGTGATATATGCTGGATATGATTTCGTCGTATTAAGAACGAATTGTAGTGATTGGGTTTCTCAATTTAGCATAAAAATTTAGTGTTTTTGAATTAAGGAGCGAGAAGACGAACAATGGCAAAACGTTTTCAACCATTAAAGGAGTTTGGCCGTACTACTAAGAAGGCTAAGCTAGATATAAGTATTAACAAGCGGCGTCCAAGTTCCAATGCTATGTCCAATAATTTAGTTTCAAATGGCATAAATAATCAGGTTGGATACTCATTGGTAAATAAGGTAAGCGTCCAAAGCTTGTGGGACGATGACGACGACGCTATACTTCTTGCAACGCAAGTGGCAGAAACACAAGCGGCTGTTGTAAAACCGGCACCCATAAATGATATTACTGATAGTGAAATAACCTTTTCTGATTTTGCTGGAAATTTATGCCGCACCACAAGTACGCAACAATTCAATCAAAATGACGATTTATCGAAGATGTTTGACGATGAAGATGACTTTGATATATTAGCTTCTGCAGCATCTGCGGATAAACCATCTAGCAACACAGTAGTAAAAAATATGCACTTAGACGCTGAAATAAACCCATTCAAGAAACCATGTGCACCCGCCATTAACCCAAAAAAAATTTATATGTCTAAACTAACTTTAGCCGCTCACGACGTTTCTATGAAGCCTTCGTGCACACAATCAGCAAGTAATGTGTCCACCTCCTCAGATAGCGCTGCGCGCCGTCAGTTGGCTTCAGAAAAACAAATAAAATTTCTTAAAGACCATGTAGAAAATTTAAAGAAAGAAAACACTAATTTAAATAAGGAAATTTTGGATAATAAAGTTACAATTGAAAGTAAGAACGGTGAGGTGAGTTATTTTATTTAAGATTTGTGAACTTTTAATTAATTTTTCCATGTTTTTTTTGTCTTAGATAAGCATTTTGAGAGATGAAGTTCGTCAAATTAAAAAACAAACACAAGTCTTAAAAATGGAAAAGTTAGCCAATGCGGAGGCTGCCAAAAATGAGTGTAAAACACGAATGACGGAGTTATCGAAACAAGTACAAGCCATAGAATCAGAGCTTCAGCTAAAGTCAGTTGAAATTTCGAATTTAAAAATGCGGCATGCCGATGAAACTAAACGATTAGAAATAAGCATGCGTGATGACTCGTTCTTTGGTGGTGTGAATATGGGAATTGCGCCGGAACCTTCGGTAGATAATATGCCAGATAAATGTAACATGATGCGTCTTACTAACTGGGCAGGGTTTGGTGCTCTTCAATATGTAAAAAATGAGTATAATACATTAAATATAGAAGAGATATTCTATAAAGATTCAGAAAAACGTAATGCCAACAAGAAGCAACGCATTGTTTTTGAAGATGAATTTAAAGAATTACAAATAATTATAGCTCAACTGCATCTCAATGAGAATTGGCATCTTGATACCAGCGGTCACATAGAATCTGTCATCAATAAGATATTGGTTTCAATAAGTAAAGTATTTACTGAATTTTGGACTTATGTACATAATTTAGAATTCGGCAGAATGGGGCGCGTACACTCTTATCATAATAGTAATATACTCAACGATTTTAATGACAGTAGCACTCATATTAGTTTACAACAACCTCAAGCTCTGTATCGTGGTGAACGTGTCATTAGCCTGCGAAGATATCTAGCAGCATTAGCAGTTTTGTGCCAAAAAATACCGAAATTATGCAAACTACTTTTAGAGCGTCAAGAAGGAAATTATGTCCTAATGCAAATCGTTTCAGAGGCTATACAAAAATTGAGCTTCTCACGTGAAGTAGCTGAGCATTTTGGAGTAATTGAAGCATTTACCACATTGCTGCATGCATTGCTCGGTAATATGCCAGTAGACAAAGACCAAGAGCATAATGTAGATCTAATAATAGAAGTTTTGAAGCAAATAATATTTGTTCGCCCCAATTTATATGTATTCCGTGAAGTCTCATATTGCATGTTAGAATGTGTGCGTCTACCATATGCAATGACGATGTTATGTAAAAATAGTCCAACAGATACTTTTACTGCTGATCGTGTCGCATTCACTTATCGTTTCTCAAGTGATTCGTGTTTACTGCAAGTAATAAATATTTCAAATAATTAATGAACAATTCAATTAAATTTATAATTAATTAATTCTATGCAGGTTTATGCAGGTCTTTTAGAAATCGTTTTTCCTATGAGCGCAGCTGTTAGTGCAACCCATTTTAAAGTATTGGCTGTGATATGTGCTAACCATATGCGCTTTCTATTTCATTGCTTTGCTAATCCACCACAATTTATACATAATATCCTACCACCCTACGACGATGAGGATGTGGATAGTGGCAAAACGGATATCACTGAATTCACATGTATGTCTTCTAAGCTAAAAAATTAAGTAACTTCCAATAATTATAATTTATTTTTTTTTGCAGCTGATAGCAGAGGAAAAAACAATAAAGAAAATGCTTCGATGGCGAAAAATTCTAAATTAGTGGCGGAGTTAGAAAAACGTGATGCGATTAGTTGTAAATGTTATGTAAAATTGTGTTTAAGCGGAGTGACACTGGTTTTTCAAATGCTACGTCAGTGGTTATTTTCAGCCAAGCAATCAGGTATTAAAAGGAGTAATTAGTACTCTTGTAAATTATAGAGTTTAGATAACTATGTAATTATAATTATATTTTGGTTTTATAGAAACGCCAATTGTTGCCGATACTTCAAAAGTTGCTGTACGTTTACTTTATGTTATTTTCTGTGAAAATTATTTGGTAAGACTCTTTCGAGATTCTGAAGTAACAACGCGTCATCATTTAAAGCTCATTTGCAAATGGTGGTCCGAAAATGAGCATGTGTTAAGACTAAACGAAGATGAAAGTGAGTACATCATTTTATTGTAAAATTATTCTAAAAATATATAGATATTATTTGCCGCTTTGTCATTTTATACATTTTATTTTAAGTTCAGTTGAGTAGTATTTTATAGTACTAAAATAGTTATCATTATCAAAACTTCGTTTAGTATACTTTTTCAACGAAAATTTTTAATGTAAGCTTTTTTTCAATACTTTCGTTAGAATTGCTGCTGGTTTCTAAGTATTTTGTTATTCAGTGTTTTTTTTCTTAACATCATAACAATCACAATAAGTTTTCAATCATTTAAATCATCATCAACTAACATCAAGTTTCCTTATATTTATAGTATATGGAATGTAATATGTAATAAAATCTAATTTCTAATCTAATTTCGTGATCATTTATCATTTACATTTTTTCTCTCCTGCTTGTTAGTATGGTAGCCCTAAGGATCTGCTTGTTTAGGTGCTTTTGCCTGTGACAAATGGCACTTGGTCGTCAAATTCCATGAGTGGGTCCGAGATGTAGACCCGGTCATTTTAGGAGTTTATCTGTCCTGCTTCACTTCAAGTTGAACAGATTGGTGCTATTTGCTGATATTAACGATATTGTTTCAGTTTAAAATAAAGTGTGGCATCTCCTATCCTTTCTTGTAAGATTGATCCTTTTTTCATTCGATATGAAAATCATTTTAAACGTGTATATCAGTATTAATAATTTAAGTATAGCAAATTAGATATTCCTGATATTTAAAATTAAAAATTTATAGTTAATTTTTAAAATTCTACATTTTTCATAATCACAAGAAATCAGTATGTAATGTTTTTATTGTTGTAACCCGCGGAGATCTATAGAGGAGATGACGTGAACGGAATTTCAAATACGTATACATACATGGGTTGGGATGAGATTAGGTAAAGTTAGTGTGAGACGGGAGAGAATTCTTTAGGAGTGAGAATGTATTGGTGATGCGTGAGATATCAGTACTTAATAATAAGAGTTCATACTACGCTTCTGTTTTAACTTAGTAAATTTATATTGAAATTTCCAAATCCAGTCGTATTTTTTTATTAACCTTTATACAGAGTTATGACTGTACAATATAATACAATAATATTAGTTAAATTTTTTAACGATGAAATTTTTTTTCAGAACATTTTTTAACAAAACTGCAGAATAACCATGTTATGCCGAAAGGTATTTCCGATGAAAAGAACTTATCAAATATTTCGGCGGATTTAGCGGAATGGAATCGCCTTACCAATGATACCGAAAGCTGTGATGATAGCCTTATTGTTGATGTTACAAAGAACATTAAAAATTTAAATCTTTTAGAAGAGGTCACTAATGTGGATAGCTTTTTTTCAGGTTTAAAAGGCTATGCATACAATTTTGAATAATTCCAATGGAATAAAATTTGCTTTTAATAAATATTGTTATCACAAAAAAATAAAGTGCTTTATATTATATTGATATCAATTATTATAGTTATTCATATGATGTATACAAAATTTATTGTATACATGATAGATAACTGAAGGTTTGGACACATAAATAATGTAATCTAATAGTAATTGGCATTTTTCTGTATGGTATTAAGAAAATGTGGATAATGTTAACTGGCTAAAGCAAATTGTTGTTGCGAACCTAATGTTGGTCCACTTTAACCAAAGCTCTAAAATGTATAAGAGCGAACTGCGGCATCTTATAGAATTTATTATTTTTGGTAATATCTTTCCAAACGTCTTACCTATCAGCCTATTAAAAACAATTACTGTTTTTAATGTTAAAATATATTTTAGATATATAAATATAATCAATAAAATTTTATTTATAATATTTTATAAAATTTTATATTTTGTAATTAATTACAATAAATAAAATAAATAAATATGAAATATGAATAAATAAATAATACTTACACTGCTGGTCTTCGATTTATGCGAATTTCCGTAATGAAATTTTAAATAAAAAACATTATATTGTTGTCCGGATTTATCCGGAATGAAATTTTAAATAAAAAACATTATATTGTTGTGTAAATATTATGTTAATTACAATATTTAATATGTTTAAGTAAAAAATGTACATCACAATTTTCTATTAATTCTAACAATTTCTTCATATGAATATTATATATACAATAATTATTAAATCTTAACAATTATTTTTACATACAATTTTATAACGTTTATCCCTACTTAGATGACAATACAAATATATTTCACTCCCTTTTTTAGAGTGAATAGCCAATTCGTTTTACATACAATATAAAGAAAAAAAAAACCAAAAAATTGCAAGGAAGCAAATCTTGACTAATTTTTATATTTATAAATATCAAAAGTCTATTAATCATATTATATTTCTAGAATGTTGCGTCTTGGCGTCATATCAAATCATTACTTTATTGGGACAAACTCAAACTTTACAATGAACAATATGGAATTGCTTAATATATGTGACAATTTAAATAAGAAATATAAATTTATAATAAATCATTTTTATATATATTTATATATTTATTACAATATTTTAATTATTTTTATTTTATATCTAATATAAGTATAACTCTTCCTAACCTGCGGAAAATGCTTCTTTAGTTTCTTTAGTTAAGCAATGTGAAAATGTAAATATTAGCAGTGTGTGGTAATATTATTTTTAATAGATTTATATATATATATAAATTAATAGAAAATATAAAAAATAATTTACTTCTTTAACTCTTAAAGACTCAGTTTGTCAGTAATTAGATATTCTATAATTTTTTTTGCAATGTTAAATGTATGAATAGATAGATATTTTACAATAAAAACTCAGGCAATGTAATAGATAATTCGTATAATTTTGACGTTTTACCGTGTTAACAAACATGTCTGAATATTCCTAATATTAAACATATAAAAGACACTTGTTCAATCAATTAATCTGCAAAAGACATGATATCGAGTCAAGAGCCATGTAAACTCCTAATTGTTTTCAGAGTTGTTTAATTACTGTTTATCTTCCAAGTTAAGAACCACAATAATTTAGTGCATTACATATATAACAATTTTATTATAAATAAAAATCAAGCTATCGATTTTTATTATAAATAAAAATCACGCTGTCAATTTTTATTATAAAAAAAATCACGCTGTCGATTTTTATTATAAAAAAATCGCTATGTCGATCATGCAACAACTGCGAAGAGACGAACGAGAACACCAAAGGAGAGTAAATGATAGTTGAGAAATAAAACGTTAGTGCTCGCCCTGTCCTCGCGAAGTAATACCTAGTTGGCGGTCCCGCGGGACGTTTTCTAAAGGGCAGCGTTATTTATAGGTGTTAAGGTTTAGTCCATAGGCGTACTGTGTCGCAAGTTTTGCACATGCAAAAGCATCGTAACTGAGTAAACCCGAGAAAGAGTGGTAGCGAACAGTATGAATCAGGCATGGTTTTACAGCATCTTTAGAAGATTCCGCCTCTAATGGACAAAAAAAAAAAAGCGTTGCATCAGCAACTCATCAATTGCATCAACAACACATCAGTTGCACCAGGAACACATCAGTTGCACCAGCAACACATCAGTTGCACCAGCAATACATCAATTGCACCAGCAACACATCGGTTGCACCAGCAACACATCAATTGCACCAGCAACACATTAATTGCACCAGCAACACATCAGTTGCACCAGCAACACATCAGTTGCACCAGCAACACACCAGTTGCATCAGCAACACGTCAGTTGCATCAGCGCACATCAGCTGCATCAGTAACACATCAGTTGCACCAGCAACACATCAGTTGCATCAGCAACACATCAGTTGCATCAGCAACACATCAGTTGCATCAGCAACACATCAGTTGCATCAGCAACACATCAGTTGCACCAGCAATACATCAATTGCACCAGCAACACATCAGCTGCACCTGCAACATCATTCGTTTTTTCAAACACAAATATCCTAGAGGCACGAGTTTTCATCTTTAAAACGGATCACGAACCGCTGGTATATGGTTTCAAGCAGAAACCAGCAAAGGCAGTTGTGTCGCTGTCAATTTATCAACCGTTACAGAGGGACAACAAGACGATCAAGAATTAAAGACCCAGTTGCAAGGAGAAACACTTTAAACCTACAAGCAATTGCTTCCAACGACAATAATTCCTCATATTGTGATGTGTCTACAGGGTAAATTCACATTACGAATGCAAATCCAATTAAAAAAGTGGAAAAGTAAACTAATCAGTGCATTTACATATTGTGATTAAATACAAAAATTTGGCGCTTTTATATAAAAATTCGTCTTATTGTGGAACTTAATGATAATACTTGTGGAACTAAATAAATAAATACAAATCTGATAAAAGCTGTGTTTCAGCAAACATGATCCGCTCAATGATCTGAATCATCTTTGCTGAAACGATACGGATCACGTTTGAAAATAATTGGCAACGCATGAAATATGACAGTTGGGTTTGTGTACAAAATTTTTTGATTTGTGTGAATAATTTTGGCGCTAAAAAAATAAGTGAGAAAATTTTGAATACAAAAAATCTAAAAAATGGAAAATAAATAAAATCTGTTGAAATGTCTGAAGTATTTACTTAAAAACTTAAATTTAATTCTATAGTTAATAAATGAAAATTGCATATGTTATTAGAATCATCGAGCGAAACTGACTCTTCCATTCCCTTTTTACTAGTTCAAGTGTATGGTATTAAGCTCAAGGGATGAAGTGTATCAGCATAGATATAGTGGAAGTTTTGTGGAAACGATCAATAATTTTTTCGTTAAAGATTATTTGATTGATATTTGCGCATAAAAAATACAATTGCTATATATTAATTATGTTTCATATTTTAATAGATTTGTTAATAAATTCCAATCAGCAAATGCAAAATAACCGTGATGATCACATTTGGACGAGAGCAATGAAGGAATTTTATATATTTTTGTGGTATATGGCAAATATGAATGCTTTTTGCAAATTTGGTATTTGTTTTGGCATACCAAGAGCTTCTGTGTGGAGAATAATTAAAAAAACTAGTGTTCAGCTTATATCAATTGGACACTAATTTAAAATACGCACTTGCTAATAATGCAAAAATGGAAGCTTCGAAAAAATTCCCGTTCGTAATTGGTTACATAGACAGTACACATCTAAAAATAAATGCACCAAACCATAGGAAATAGGCTTATTTCAAAAGAAAGCATGACTATGGCTTAATCTTGCAGACAGTTTGCGATGAAAATGATTTTTTTATAAACGTATATGTTGGAGAGCCTGGTTTCTTATGTATTGTTCTGTTTTAATTAAATAAATGTATTCAACTTAATTTTTATATATTCATTTCAAATTAATTGATATTAATAAATTATCAAACAACACTTTTTCAATAATAATAAAACGTAAATTATTAAAGTAATAATTTTAATTACATTGATAATTAGAACGTTACTTTAAACAAAGAAATAAATAATAATGACATATTAATTAAATAAGTACATAAAATGAATAATAAATAAATAAAATCAATAGTAAATAAATATAAATGTAGATTTGTTTAAAATTTTACTGCACCGTGCATCGCATTGCCAACCTTATTTGCATTAAAATACGTTCCACTTTTATCTTTTACATACATTCCACATTGAACCAGAAAGTGAACCAGATCAATTGCTGGTTCACCCCATTGTTTTTGTTTTGCATGTAAAATTGAGCGGATCATGTTTGCTGAAACATAGCTAAAGACAGATAACTATACTAGTGATCGAATAAAAAATAGTGCTGAAAAAGCTGATTATAGTAACTAAACAAAATTAAAATATCCAGCTAACTGAGACAGCATATATAACCTATTCTTTGAGGCAATGAGCCAGCATAGTTATACTGGCCAATCACATCGGCCAGTAAAAAAAAAATGTTACCAACGCAATAAGCGAACTATTGTGAACCTTCATTGAAAATTCCAACGAATAGTGCAATCAAATGTCAAAAATTGAGGAAATAAAAATTCAAACAGAATTCAAAAATTTGAAAAATATTGAAAAGTAACAAAGAAATAATAAGAATGGAGAAATCGTAAGTATTAAGCACATTGAATTTTTTATTATGTCAGTTATTACCAAGTAACATTTATTTTATTTCATTTAATTTGTAGTTTACATACGTAAAATTAATAAAACAAACATAATTTTTGAAGTTTTTCTAAAAAATTTTTTTATAGAAATACACGTAAACTATGGACCACAAAGGAAACGAAGTGTTTTCTAGAGTGCTACTTGGCACGAAAGGAAGAGTTTATGGAAACCAGAAAAAAAAAAGACTTGGATATCAACATGTACTTGAGGACATGATAGCACATGGAATTGCAGTAAGTATCGCATAACTTCTGCAATCATTTGAATAAAAAAATAAATTAATTATATTAAAAAAAAATAT